GGACATTGAACTGTTGACCACAACTCTTTACCTCCAACTGATTAGCTCTATTGAAGGTTTGAATTCTGGCAAGTAGGGCATGAAACAAAAACTTATAGTAGCAGTTAGTTGTTGGTGTTTTGTTTGAGCCTTTTTGTCCGTGTGCATTTTTTTTTTCTGTTTGAGGTTTTTATGTCAAAGCACAGAATCACATTAGAAAGCTCTTTTTTTTATTTTTTATTTTTTATTTTCCTACAAGTGTGTAAATCCTCTATTTTTGCCTTAGCAAGTAACAAAAGTAAGTTAGTAACTGACTTCAATTTCCCAGTAAATAACTTTTATGAAATCATGTGCTGGTAGCGACCTATATAAAAGCATGGCATATGACAAAGCTGTTAGTTACAACATCATTCAGACTATTTCAGATAGTAAAATTCCTTTTTCTTAACCACAACAGTTTGAGGTTGTAGATCCTGAAATTATGTTAGAATCCAAATAAAACAGAAGTAGTTAAACCACTGTTCCAGCTATAAACCAATGTTGTCTCTCCTTTGAAACTAGGGGAGAGGTGTAATATATTACTGGAGTTAGTTCAGTACAAATATGACTTTTATGTCTATCTGATATACTTCTGTGTGCTCATCACCCATCATATGGTCTACTGACAATTGCATAAATATTTTAAAATAATATACTTACACTTAGTGGATGCCCATAATTGATGGGATGACTCTCCAGTTAGGCCCTTCAACTTCTTCTTCAGCACTCTGCTTGTTTTCTTATAGAAGAATAAGTCTTTTTCCAGTTGCTGGACTTTTACTTCATATGCTTTCAAGGTTTCTGCAATACCTTCACTGTCTTGTTCTAGGACAAGTAAAAGTAGTTTAAGAACCAAATAACTCTGTGCCAAAAATCAAGAAGCCCAACTAGACAGAATATGTCTTGCAACTTCTTTTCATCAGGGACAGCAATGATAGGACAAGGGGTAATGGGTTCAAACTTAAACAGGTAAAGTTCAGGTTAGATATAAGGAAGAAGCTCATTACAGTGAGGGTGGTGAGGCACTGGAATGGGTTGCCCAAGAAGTGGTCAATGCTCCATCCCTGGCAGCGTTCAAGGCCAGGCTGGACAGAGCCTTGGGTGACATGGTCTAGTGTGTGGTGTCCCTGCCCATGGCAGGGGAGTTGGAATTAGATGATCTTAAGGTCCTTTCCAACCTAAACCATTCTACGATTCTATGATCTTGCTGACACATTGCTTGCAATGTGTACATTTTGACTAGTATGACACAGGATCAAAGAGGCCATTCCAACGCCACTTGTCAGTTTTAACAGGAGTATTTAGAAGATCAAGATCACCAGGACCAGTATCTTTAAACTTTCCAATATTGGCAAATTCAGTATAAAAATACAACGATTCTGATACTGGTTTAAGAAAATGCTTGGTTTTCTGTACATACAGACACTATGTGCCTGTGACTGTTCCTCAGCATCCCACATAACATCAGAATTAGTGACAGCCAAAATATATCTCTGAACTTTTTTTTTCCAGCTGGAATATAGTATTAGTCAGTAGTGACTGAAGATAATACTTGCTGAGCAATATCCCCAAAAAGCAAATACCTTTGAAATGATGCAGTATCAGCTGTAGTTTTTTCTCATGTTCTTTGTGTTGTAGGGTCAGCTGCCTGTCACACTGCAACTTCACATGGTCAAGTGCAGATTCTAATTCACGTATTATGTTTTCCTGGTCTATGACTTTCATTTCCTGTTCTTCAATCTGCAGTTGTAATTTTCGTTCAGACTCACGAAGGCCAACAATCTAAGAAAGAAATACACTTATTTTGATTTATTAAACCATTTTAATAAAGGCTTTTACCCTTCTGCTTAGTAAATTAAAGCATACAAAAGCAATGGTCTCTACAAGCCATAAGCTTGTGGGAAATAAACTTGCCCACTGCTATGAGTTCACACTTCAGGAATGAGCTCTGTACATTTTGATCACATGGACTAGTGGATTTTTCTTTAATATTCTGTGCAGAATTTAGATTGAAACAACAATGTTTTCCTGATTCTGGAAAGATTAACTTGCATCCCATAGACAGCTTGTTTACAGAATCACACAAGGTTTACCCAAGGTCACAAAGACAAACCATGTCTTAATACATTTCATTTTTGTTTCCAGATGTTAGTACGAATCTTCAGTATGAGGCTGTACACAGTGCAGACTGTGTATGCAAAAGCAGTTTATACTGGATTTAGGGGAAAAAAAAATAATTCTAGATCTGCCGCACCTTTTAAGGTAATGATCCAAACCAAAATATACAAAGTTAACACACAAGTAACCTATTTAGGTTAATGTAAAAATTAAAAATATCTTAATTCATAGCAGATCTATGGAATCTGAAGAGATGTTCACTAAAAGCTTGTTAAATTTATTTTTATTTCTTGACACCATTTCATTTCATTATCTGGAATGGTAACAGAAAATAGGATAAAATATTAGTCATTAGCCAAAACAAACCTTATTGAAATACTTGAAGATGATAGCTCTGAGCTCAGTAGCAGACAGGGAAACTAGTTTTCCTATTACATTATTCTCACTCTGTGAAAGAATCTGAGAAGATGACTTAAGCAAATGCTGGCGATTCTGAATAGTTTCATTCTTATAATCAAGAGCAGCCTCCAGGGCTTCAATTCCTTCCTCCAGCTGGAAAAGGACATGTTCTTCCTACAGAGAAACACATGAAAGCTATTTTAAAAAAAAAAAAAAAAAAAAGTAGAACTAATCTTTCTATACATAAGACATCTTTAATTTCATTCTCAAGAGTGAAACTAAACTTAAGGGCAAGATAAACCAGTAGTAGTACAGAGAACAGAATGGGGAAAATAAGAGGTAGAATAGAAATCGGGAACATCTGCCATAATACCCCTACCATAATACAGCGTCAATTGAATGGCTGATCACAAAAAGAGAGGTCATGTTTCCCTTTTTATCCTTTCCTCATCCTCCCCACAGTTTAACTTCTGCCATTATTTCTTTTTTGGTTGTGCTTGTTTTCTGTTGGATTAATGAATGAATCAGGTCAGTAAGCGATTTGGTGACTATAGCTTTTGTAGGGAAGTGGCAGAATTGCATGGCCTGAAGCACTGCAGAAGATTTTGAGAAGTGAGGCAAATAGGGCTCTTTCTGGCACATTATCACTTTAGCCATATGCCCATACTGCTGCTCAAGACCTAAAAATAATCTGCATACTTGATATGAATTTGTTATACCTGCAGTGTAACTATACTGATCAATTCAACGTGGACCACTCAGGTAATAAGACTTTTTTTTGCTTTAAACATATGGAGGCTTTCAGGTGAAGTTTGCTTTTTCACAAAATTCTATGAAAAAAATCAAGGGGCATTGCAATGCTAGTACATTGCCTTGTGCTATGTCCTAACATTAAAATATCTGCCTCTGATAAACCAATGAACTTCTAGGTCCCTTATTTCTCATTATATGATACTTAGGCCAGTGGAGTTTTTCAAGGACCTAGCTGAATTAGGTCCCTCTGAACATAAACTTTTTTCACTGGTACATAAGTAGTGCTATCACAGCAGTATTTTAATGTTGTAATTTACAAAAGTACCCAACCTCAGTTCCTTGGTTCAAGCTTATCTAATAATTGGAGACATTTTAGGTTCTGATTGGAATGCTTTGTTACACAACACTACCTAAAACCAGTATTTATCTCAGAGGTGCTTACTTACTTCAGCTGACAACACTTTACCATCTTTCAGTTTCTCATCCACACTGCTTCTTCTTCTGAGCAGCTGATCCCTTTCCGTCTGGAGAACTTGTATTTTTTCCAAAATGTCTGTCTTATCTTCAGTGGTGCTGCCCTGAAGCTGCATACCTTTATCACACAGTTCCTGATCCAGCATACTTAAGCGAGTAGACAATTTCATACTATCTTTGTTTAAAGCCTGTATAAAACCCAAAGCAACCAGAGATATAAAACTGAGATACTCCTTCCAGTAAGAAAATCGTAGGTGAGACTGTCACATTCTGCAATGAAAGACTTGCCTGCTTCTTGTAATGAGACCCCATTTATTTTGAGTAGACAGGTACCATAAAATTATATTATTTACTCAAAAGATGAAAGAAAACAGAAACACTCAATGTGCAGTTTTCTACATCCTAAAAATCAAAGGGACTAGTCTTTATAAGTGACAATGATACCTCAATTTCTCTTCACTTTTGCTACCGAAAAATAAATCATGCAAAATGTATCCCAGTCATGTTCTCCAGTTTGAAAAAGAACTGAGTCATTTTTAGGTATCATATTATTTAATGCTCTGCAGTAACAGAACACAGTTCATATTTTTGTTTTGTTGTTGGAATTTTGGGGAGAAAAAGAGAATAAAAGTGATTATTCTGTGTTATTCACATTTTAAATGTTGATTTGCTTAAGCTACAGAATAACTTCACAGCAGAGATACAGGTCACATGGCTTGAGTCTCTTCTGCTATCTATCTGGCTTCCCCCCACCATTCTTTCAGTTTGCACTGTAACTGTGGTGAGTTTTATGGGTTTTATTATACCACCTGGCTAGATCTCAGTTTCTTGATTTCCAGGTGGCTTTTCTCTTGCAATAATGCTTCTTTTTTGGCTACAATGGCTTCTCTTTTCTTTAAATCTTCTTCTAGTTCTGCTAACTGTTGGTGCTGTTGGAGAATTTTTTCCATTTCTTCATCCAAACATTTCTTTTGCTCTTCTAATTTCTAAAGTTTAATTGGAAATACAGAGAGCATTAACCAGGACTTCTGCAGTCAGAATTTGGTGATTATGTTTTTCTTTTTTCAGAATAACTGACAGAACTGCAGAAGAAATTGACGTTTCTAATGTTAACATTAATTCTGCAACAGTATCTTGGCTCAGAGTAACATAGAAATTGAACTGACTTAAAAAGAGGCTGAAAAATGTTATATTGCTACATCTCGTATAAACAAATTTGCATCACATGCCTTTAATGAAATGTTTTCTTTTTCTAAGAACAATTATATAAATAGATGTCTTCTATATAATCACAGCAATTAGGTTTGAAAGGTACCACAAGAATTCAGTTAGCCCATCTTCGTTACATAATAGTTACCTAAGACCAGCTATTTGTGGAAAAACATAATGACAAGCAATTATGATGTTGAAAGAAAGAAAGACAGTAAATGAGAGCTCTGATTCTGCTAGCACAGTCCATTATAAATTTATTCTCAAGCCACAGTTTATCAGTGGATATATCCCTGGTATGGATAAAAAGTTGCCTTTATTTAACTTTTTGGATTTCTTTTCACCTTGAAAGACTTTGGATAACTCATGAAACTCTCATGTTCCAATGTCCACATCTGAAATTATGCAAAGGACACATTTTTTTCTTACCCTGTTAGGAACTACCAAAACTACAGACCACTGCCACATATGTCAGAGGAGAAAACAAAAAAACCTAAACAAACTATGGAACATTTCTAATGGAGCTCATCAAAATCACTCTCAAACCCAAAAGACAAACAAACCTGTTGAATTCTTAGGTCTTTGAATCAGCATCTTTGACAAATCACAGAAAGAAAAGACATTAGAACTTCTCCTTTCCTTCATTCAAAAAAAGTGTACAAGAGTTGCTAGACTATACTCCCAATTTTTGCTACAGCAAAAAAAGGACAAACTATGATTGAATACCCTTCTTCTAAATACTTTACAAAGATGACTAGGGATGAAGAAAGAATGTTAGGGGTTTTTTTCAGGGCCCACACAGATTTGGAATAGATTAGCTACCTGTAGCTTCTGTGAAGTTTCCACTGAGTCATTTTTCTTCTTTTTAAATGCAGCAATCTCCTTATCCTTAAGTTGAAGGATCTTCTGTTGTTGCTCCATCTTTAGTTGAAGTTCCTATAAAGAAACAAAAAGACCCATTATTCCTGCCTTAGTCTGTTTTTAAAATGCATTTAATGTCAGAGTCCACACAAGTATAAATCTGAAATGCTGACCCTAAATTTACATGTAAAATTGCAATTTAGAGCTGGATATCATGTAATAAATAATAAAGAGCTGAAAAGAAAGGCAAACTGAAGATTTCTGTTGTTTATAGCAATTTCTTCAGTGCATTTGTCAAGACAGTAACTACTTAAAACTGGAAAACCTAGCAGTATGGTTTATTGACTTTGGGGAAGCAAAGTCAAAACTGGCACATCTTATTCTTTGTCACAAAGAACCAGGAAGAATCCTACCTTAATTTGTTGCTGGTCCCGCTGAATCTCTGCTTCTAGTTGCTTCTTTTTTTCGCTCTCCTCACACAATCTCTTCTGTAGCTGGGTCTGCTGACGCTTCATCTGAGCCACATTCTGCTCAAGTTCTGTTGCTTGTCTCTCACTTTGGTTAGATAATGAAGCCAGATTCTTAGTGTCTTGCTGCTTCTTCTGTAAGGCCTGAATGTGCATGACAAATTTCAGCTTAATAGCAGGAAAACTTAAAACTAAAATATTACTCAACTTCATTCTTTCTTTCACTGAATTCTTAAGAGTCAGCAAGACTTACTAACCTCTGCTCAAAAAATCATTCATTATTTATCTGGTTTCTGAGCTACCTGGTAAAGCTGGCACAGCCAGAATTAACCTCAAGCAACATAAGATGGTAAGGTAAAGATACAGTTCATGCCTGGCAATACTATGAAAGTCGTAAAATCTAAGAGAAATCACAGATATGGAAAATGTGCAGAAACATAATGGTGCCAGAATGCTGGTCCTGAGCTCAAGACAAGCCTCTTTCTTTATGGGGCTTGTCTAACCCACCATTCTAGGACCAATAAGCACAGAATACTTAAGCTGGCCCTACACTGAACTTAAACTTAGGTATAGCAAAACTTAGAAGGTCAGTGCCATCAAAAGATGGCTGTATGAGGCCTGGTCTTGCAAACCATCACAGTGATTTTCTTAGAGATGGAATTTATATAGTACTTTCATAAAACATTATTTATGGCAGGTAACAACCTTGTAAGTGTCTCCACATGTAGGTTCATACAACATACACAATGGTGTATGAGCATCTCATATCACCCACTTCTTTCTTGGTTTCTTATCTATCAAGAAAATACTGTATGCATCTAACCATATATATGGGTAACATAAATAGCATTCTGAATATAACAGTATTAAGTTTCTCATTATCTATTTCAATCCAATCAGCTTCCAGTGTGTAAAACTGGTGAGAGTTTCACAAGCAGAGTGTTAACGTCAAAGGTGTTATCAAGACAGAGATTTGCAAACTTTAATGGTCAGATCAGACATACCTGCACTTTCAACTTAGCTGCATCCATCTTCTTCCGGAATTCCTTTTGTAACTTTGTTTTCTCAGGAATGTCTCTCAGCTCCTGATTACTCTCCAGCTCCTGAAGCTGCTTTTGCATTTCAGCCAGTTCCAGTTTGGCCTGCTCAGATTCTTGCTCTAGTTTAGTTATCTTCAAAGAACACTGCCTGCTTACAGACTGAGCATCCTTGCCTTAAAGATATCATATCGAGATAGTTTAAAAACATCAGAATAATCAGTTGAAATGTAATACTTAATTCTGTAATTGAATTACTTACTTCATTCTGGCTAAACCAATAATTTCTGAGATATTTTCCAACCTTAAAGGAACATACAGTTACTTTCTAACTCTGAAATAAAGGAAAAAGTCTTAAAACTGAATTCTTTCTGAGTCACCATTTGTCACCAAGTAAAGTGCCACCTTACTGCAAAATAAATTGAAATTCTTCTGCCTACTGTAGTTTTCGTGAAAATGGTTCTCATGTATTTCATAAATTTTGCTTTTTCCAGAAGAATATGCTCTTTATTTATTATTCAACTACCATCTTAATAATTAGTAAACAGCTTTGGATTGTGTTTCTGCCCTCTTACTTGCCCTGTTTAGGTTATCTTTCCAAAGTACTATTTTGGAGGGTACAGAATCATTCTCAGTGCCAAAAGACAACCCCAAGAGAAAGTATGCACAGGAGAAGACTGTGATTGAAGGGGTTCAGCAAAGAGATCCTTACAGTCATCATAAGGCTAGTGTCTGGCAAGCATATACATATATATATACCAGGACAGATGTATAAGAGTGTAGGCTAACAGGGACACTGACCTTTTCCCTCATCCACTTCTGACTCCTGCTTCTCTACTGCAGCGCTGGGAATGCTTACATTCGCAGCACCGTGATGTATCTTCTCTCCTATCCCAGACACCACATGACAAATACATGTCCGCAAAGAGATTGGTAGCACTAAGCATACATGAAAAATTAGACTATTGGTGGATAAAAGCAAAAATCAGCAAAGCACAAAAAAAAAGTAACAAATACATCTGTGTATCATAGCAGAGCAGGCTGCAATCCAAATTTGCAGCCTTCAGTGCAATCATAGCAAATAATTAATGAAAGTTATGAATCTTTAATTTATTAAAAGTATTCTTGCATACGATAATTACATAAAAAATAAGACAGGACTTCAGAAGTTTTGTGACTTCTGTTTCTGAACTTCGTCATTCTAATTTTTCCTACAGTACCCACTTACCTGTTCTTGCTAATTCCTTAATAAGTTCCTCTTTCATTTTGATATTAAGTGCGAGTTCTCTTAGTTTTTGCTCGGCCTCAGTGAATCTCAACTCTGAATTCTTTAACTTCTGCATGTTAAAAACATGACTTTTTTGGAGGTTGTCAATCTCTTCACCTTGAAAGAAAACAAAGGAATATAGAGATAAAAAATCTGGAATATGCTCTGTATCCAAAAGATAGTGCTCTGCAACACTGCATGTGTGGAATTCTTCCACATGAAGTAAAAGAACCAAAAAGAGAGAATAACACAAGGAATCTTTTCCCTGCCATGTGTCTAAACAGTAAAAGGAAGAATGGTATGCTCTAGCATTTCAAGACCCTAAGTGGGAGGAAAAATATTCCTAAAACCATTTCAGTGCATCTCTGAACAGATAATAGCATCTATTTCTTTTATTGAAGTAGTGCTAAAGATTTGTTTCTAAACAGCTTTTTGATATGTGTTTTCTAGCTACTAAGTATTACTCAAACATTAAGGACACTAGTATCAGTTTCAGAAAGGGAAGAAGCAGCAGAGAATCTCGAAGCCTAGACTGATCTATAACAAAAAATATTTGTATCAAATACATATATTTTGCTGGAAAAAATAATTACGTGTGCTAAAGACATTCATGAGTATTCTGACACTGTAATAAGATTTGCTCTCAAGATTTCCATTTTACCTGTGGTTGTGCCACTCTGTAGCGCAGATTTGTTGGATAAACCAGACTTGTGTACCTGACACTTCATGTCACTTAGATCAGGAAGAAAGCACAGAGAAGCCTGTTTTCGTGTCCATGTTCGGTTTATGGAATGCCTGGGGAAGAATGAAAAACATGCTATATTCCAAACATGGAGGGACTGTTTTTTTTCTTTAAGCTTCAAAGTATGTGATTGTAACAGAGAAGAATCCCAAACTCACATAAGCATTTGTTCCTTCTATTCCATTGACTCTCCACTTCCCTACCCACCCTGATCTCTATGGTAGATTCTAGTCCTAAAACAAAGTTTATGCTATCTTTGTTAAATCACAAAACCTGTGTTTATTAAACTTATTTGGCAATATGCCCAGTTGGTCCCATAAGTTTGCCATAAAAAAATACCACAAATGATCTCAGATTATGGCAGGATTAAGGAGTAATACTACTTTTGTTATACATTTGTCTATAACAAAAATTAAAGAATATATAAAAAAAATTTACTTAAACGAGGTTTTCTTTTTGCTGCCTGTATTTTCATCCTCTTCATCACTTTGGTCAGAGAAGTGGCAGTGAAGGACTTTATCCTGATCTTCTATGTGGCTCAGTGCCATCTGGCTGCGAGCACGGAATTTTGCCATCACCCGGGCCAGGGAGAAGGCAGGGGGGCTTGTATACACCTGTCAAAAGCACACACAAAAAAGCTATGGGTAAAAATACTTGAAACAATTTATCAATTCCTTACTGACATTAAAAAAAAAAACAAAACAAAAAAATCAATTTAAAAGCCTGTCATCATCTAAGCTTGTAAGCAAAATTACAGAGGTTTTCTGTAATACCTCTGGATAGCTTTCTAACAAAAAGTTTTGCAAGAGCTTACAGCACTTGTTCCAAATGTGAAGGAAGGCACTATTAGCAGCTCATTATCTAGTGTATTCAATATATCAGTAAGAATAATAATTCATTTTTGATAATGCTCAAAATCTCAAGGAAAACACCAGAAAATACTCCAGCTTTAGCACCTGTGATAATTTTAAGCCTGAAGATTTTGAACAACCATGGCATAGCATATGTTGCAAGGCACGAAAAAGTAATTTTTCAGAGTCTTCAGTGGGAAATTAAACAGCATCTGAGAAAGCCACCATAAATTGTCATGTCAATTCTAATTACGGAACTATAACCATTATAAAGTAAATGGAAAAAAAAGTAACATTTGGGTAGACCTTACCTTTCGGGTCTCTGTCCCTGAAGGTGGCTGAAGAGAATGTAGCAGACTCTTTGTGAGTGGGACACTGTATGGCCTGCTTGCAGATGCCACAACAGCTGGCCCATCTTCACAAGCACTTGAGAAGTCTGAAGTTTTCACATCTGTAAACTTCTCCAATTTCTGTTTTAGCTGATCAATAAGCATTTGCTGTTCCACCATTTTCTCATTCTCATATGGAAAAAAAACAAAACAAAGCTGTTGCTGATCATGAGCTCTATGTCATATCCACCACTTATAAATTCCTTACAATGGTCATGAGTCTTGTGTATCACTCACTGACCCTAAATTCTTCTGCAGTGCACAGGTACAACAAACTGAAAATTCTATGCCATCATCACCAATCTAACACACCCCTCAACTTCGATAGTATTAGACACATTTTTGTCCAGAAAGACCTATCCAAGATAAGTTACATTAGCTTACATAGGCATCTAGTGGGAAGAAGATGACATACTTATCATCTTACTTATATATCAGCTTATTTATACATGTGTTTATGGAGAAAAAAAAAGGGAAATCAACAAAAACGTTCAGATGAAACATGTGATCTGAGTCTATTTAAACATGAATACAGGCTTCCTCTTCCTCTTTAAGCTGTTCCACTTCAAAGATTATTTGTATTAATAAACATAAAAATGATCCTAGGTTACTTTTCTTCTATCCATGCCCAGCACTGTTGATAATGCTAGTTTGGAGAACTCACTTACCTGCTTCTCCAACAGTAGTCTGTTTACATTATTCAGAAGTACTTATCTTACCTAAACTGATTCATTCATAAGGTCAAGATTATATTAATTTTCACCTCCCTCTATTTGTTTCAATTCTTTCCAAAGTACCTTTGAAGTGTGGCCTAGTAACCACAGGAAGGTTGAAGAATAGGTAGTGATAGTCAACCAGAAGTATTCAGTGAAAGATATTTTCCATCCTCCTACTTTGTATAATACATTTTTATTCATTCTTTACATCTTGTTTTCTTAAACTTCAAGTTCCTTCCAAACACACAGAGACAATGCCTTGCAAACTGACATTTTCTTGAAATACAATACATAATATTCCTATGTCACAGGAAACAGAATAGATATATCAATACCATATTTGTTATGATTTTGGAAGCAGCAACAGCCAACTGATCCACCTTGAAGCTATTATTTAACCTTTTAGGACTCTTCGTCCCTGATACGCTTGTGCATACAACCCCACAGAGTATACACAACAGAGTACATATAACACCTGTTGCATAAATGTGTCTGTGTATAAGCATTACTAACTGCCTAGTACCTGCTACTTTTAAACTATATTCTACCATGTATCACTAAATTACTATTATTACTTATATTACTTATATTCT